CTATTTCCAATTTTAACTCGACTTAATTGACAAAACATCGGCAAAATCTGAACTAAAGGAAGCAACAATAAACACTGAAGTGCCTGTGTCGAGCCAACAGCTGAGATGCCGCTTCAGTGGTGGTTTGTTTACTTCCGCATACGTTTTGAGATGAATATGGACCCAATTAGCATATTGAAAAAAAATACTGAAGGCTGAAAAAATAAAAGCACTATTATTTTTGGAAATTAAAACCTTGAAATTGCAATTGTGTATCACGCTTCATGAACGACAATATCACTGTGCTAGCTTAACACCTGAAGTAGCACCTCTTCCGAGCTAGCTTAAAACAACCGTTAGCATTCAAAGTTCCAACATTTACCTTTCCGAGTAACTACAGTTATTCAAAAGAAACATTTATTACAAACAAATTGTGATAGTGGTGTCGTTTAAAGGACAAACATTAACCTACCGGAGGATAGGAAAACTTCTCAGCGACGGCAGGTGTCTTTAAAGTCACAAAAACTCGATTAAACAGATGGAGTGCAGTTGATGCTGAATCCCATCCGACCGATGTGTAATCCAAGATGGCGGCCGAGGGCGACCTCTTGACTATGCAGCAGTTTTGAAATAGTGGACATAGTAGCAAGTTATGGGCGGAAGTTATTTACTTCCCCAAACAGCTATTTCCTGTTCAAAAAGTACTAAACAAGAAGACAATAAAAGCAGACAATTTAATGAGCCACTTGCACCCAGAAATGAGTCTTTACCATTTCAGTGATAATACAGTAGCCTAATCCATAGTTTCTACTCTCTGCTGTACATCCATGATCTGCAGTAACTAGTTCACCTTTTGGTATTTAAAACGTTTTATTCAGGTCACTATTACCTACTTGAGTATTTTAAAGTAAACCTTGTAAATACAGCTTATTAAGAGATGTTTTTAGAGTCTGTATTTTTATCGAATCGACTGACTTTTTATTGGGGAGATGGGGTTGTGCTGAGTGAATTGGACTCTTGCCTTCAGTATTTCGGACATCCTGGTTTTTGTGGCCTTATGATGAAATTTAAATTCCATATAGCCTAAATAACAAGATTAAGTAGTCACATACACACAAGAGGGAGAAACTACCTATGGTGGCGATGTCATTGGTCAAATAGCCTATTGATACTTTTGTACTATAGAATATACACCAATCAGACAAACCATTAAAACCAGTGGTGGGTGAATAGTAGTGAATAACATTGATTATCTTGATAAAATGCAATGTTCCGCTGGGAAAACTTGGGTCCTGGCATTCATGGTATTCATGTGGATGCCACAGTGAGGCCTCCTTGGATTGAATGTGGCTCTGACCTTTGGAGGCATGGATACAGGACTTCTGGGGGGTGTCCTGTGGTGTCTGGCACCAAGGTGTTCTTGGTCTGCTAGCGTTTAGGTGGGTGGAGCACATCAAGGAGAATTCACATGAGTGCCAGCACCAAAAGTTTTTCAGCAGAACATTGCATTGAAAACAAGGTGATCAATATCATTCATTTTACCCATCAGTGGTTTTAATGTCTTGGCTGATTGCTGTATGTTGTTTATACTGTTTTATCATCAGAACTCTTTGATCTGACAAAGTTGTGCTCTACATGGACATCTAGTGGCCATATTTGGTCAAAGCAATACCAGTAGTAGTGAATGCAATTTTCATGCATTGTAATGGGTTTTGTCTGTTTTTTGTTAACAGACAAACATACTGTACATGGCAGACAAACACCACATATACAAAAAAAAGTTCACTCCATGATAGAGGCAGGGTAGGAATAGGGCTTCAAATGGTTTCTGAAATTTTAGGATACAGGGAGCCTACTGTATAACTGTAAGTTTATTAGTAACATTTTCAGTATTACTTTATAATCAGTATGTATTCATATAGTTTACTGACAGGATCGATGGACATATTCTACATAGCAGTTGGCTGTGTGCACATTTAAAGATAGTTGCAGTAAGCCAGTAAAAACAACAAGATGAAGAAAAGGAGAAGAGGACAATGTGGGATGCAAGTACAGATGTGGGGCACAAAACAAATCAAAACAGTGGCAGACTGTGAAGATTGAAAATGTTCAATATCCCTTTATTTTTTGTCAAATTTCATTGATGTCAGCACAACAAATAAAAATCATTCTCACCTACATTGTACAGAGGTGGAGGCAAAAATCTCAAAATCAGTTGTCTTTAAACAAATAAAATCAAAACTGTTTATCTTACCCTTCCTAGCCGATGTCACTAGAGATTAGTGAGAAAATAGGGGGGTTATTTTGTTATTTGGATTAACTTTTCCTCATAAATAAAACATAATTAATGCCAGAATCTACACATGAAAAAGCAATTGGGGTAGGCCTCAAAATGTCTGCTGGGAAAAAGGCCCATTGACTTGCCACATTCTCCCCAATGGTGCAACACACACAGATTTGTTACATTTATAGCTACTTTGGTACAGACAATACTGCACAGTCTTGACAAATTCATGTGTTTGTATGGTACATATTGTCCCATTGCCCACCCTGCTCTTTCATATTACTGACAGTGTTTTCTGTCAGATTTTCTCAAGTCAGAAAAAGCCGACATCATCAGACTATGACAGCCCAGATTTTGTACATTCTATTTTTAACCTTAATGTTCAGAAGACCAAGTGTGGGACCACAAGGTTGGTGCTGTCAGTAGTAGTCAGTAGTGATCACTGTCTTCTTTACCGAAACATTTTCCATGCTTGTTTCGTGTATTCTGTGTTTTATATCGTGCGTGTTATCTCAGGCTCATACTGGCTGTTTATCAGCTCATACACATGACTGAAAGGTAGTGTCATTTTTCCTGAGCTGCTGTGTTTCACAGGAAGAGAACATGTTCTGGAGCCAATGTTCCACCTGAAGCCATTCAGACCACATCCTTCGAGTTTTCTACAAGTAAAAAAAGCTATAACGGAGAGATATCATATTTATGTTTATGTATATAGAACTGGTTGTTTTAAGGTTGTAGATGCTCATGGTTTGTTTTCTATTTTAGGTGTAGCAGATGAATGTGACCTGGTGCCATAAAAATGGATAGGTGCACTCATCCTGTAATACAGCTGGCTGTCTAATAAGTATGAATCACTGAAACGAGAGCTGAAGGCAACACAGGAAGATAACAAATGACTGAGGGAGACCAACCTTTGGTTTTGATTCCATTAAGGATGAAGACTCCAAAGATTATTATTTCCGGTGATTGTAAAAGAAGAAATGGAGGACGTGATTAATATTAACAGGAAGACACGAGGAAATTAATCTTCTGAGGAAGGTGCTGGACAAAATTTGGATTTTGCTCTTTGCCTTCTGTTGTTCAATACATCCTGTGCTTTTATATTTTCCAAACCCAGCTTTTAATAGGTTGTGTTTCTGCACATTTCCCCTGGACTGAAATTTCTGTTTATTTAATGTATTTTTTTATTTATGAACACTTTTTGCAAACAATAAGCACAAACAAAATAATTTTAAAAAAGAAATTATGAGGTCATTGGATGTTTAAAAAGTCAAGGCAAATTTTCTTAATTTAAAGTAGGATATCACACATGGTACATACAATAATCATGTGAGATCTGTCTCATTGGCTAAATAAACACACCATTTTCTCCACTGTTTTTCTCCCAATTCTTTTTGGGGTCATATGGAATAGGTCATCTGTTCCACAAGATGTAAGTGTAAACAGTTTTAACAAAAAGGCTGACATTTCTGTTTATATTAAAAGTTCTATGGACAATAAATTTTAGGACTGATTACTTTAAAATGATGCTGCTGAAATGGTGCCAGTGTTTGTTTGTTTGTTTGTTTGTTTGTGCTTTTACTTTCAATCCTCAGTGTCTGTCATATGAAACAAAATGTATTCTTAACATCAGGTGTTATTGGTAGGCTATTTTAAAAGGTATTTATTACTGCTTAAGTGTAATTGGTGGTCATCACAGTCAAATACAATGAAGATGACAAGAGGCTGTGCTTTTACTGATATAAAAATCTCTGGAGTCTAAAACTGTGAGGGGTATTTACAGCATTTCAGGGAACCATGTTAGTGAAATTTTGCATAACAGGCCTTTGATGAAGGACATAATCAGTAACTCAACATATGACAAGAGTTAAAATGTGAAATAGTAAATATGACATTTAGATTATTAGTAAATTAAAAAAAAACATGTTAAGTTCAGTGTAGGCATAGAGGGGGAGAGAGTACAGAGGGTGACCAGCTTTATATTCCTTGGCAGACACATTTCAGAGGACCTCTCATGGACGACAAACACCACAGCACTAGTCAAGAAGGCACAAAAGCAGCTATACTTCCTGAAGACGCTCAGGAAGGTAAACCTGTCACAACAGTTTCTGGTGTTGTTCTACCCCAGCTCCATTGAGAGTATTCTCACATACAACATCTTTGTGTGGTATGATAGCAGCTCTGCAGCAGATAAAAAGTCTCTGCTGCGAATCATAAAAACTACACAGAACATCGTACAACAACAGCTACCTGCCCTGGATGACAATTTCAGCTCCCAGTGCCTGCAGAAAACACATAACATCCTAAAAGACTCAACATTACAGGTCAATCAAAACATGCACCACAAGATTCACAAACAGTCTCTACCCCAAAGCCATCACCATACTGAATTCTAACCTGAGACCAACTCCCTGAAACACACACAGTTCTTTTTCTCAAGTGCAATAACTTATTTTATGTGCAATAATATTCACAAGCACTTGTTTTTATCCCATTTTTACTGCATACATGTGTAGAATGTGAGTGTAACGGAGGCATTTATTTTTATTATTATTTTATTACTTATTTTTTATGTGTGAACCTGATCTTTGAGTGCACCTGAATTTCATCCTATGTTTGCACAATGACAATAAAGAAATCTGAATCTGATACAGTAGGCGGGATTTTGTGACAGATGTCGAACCAACACATTAACACCATTTTGATCTGTGATTAAGGAAACACATAAGACACTGTATTTACAATTATATTCTTTATTTGATGAAATTCAACCACCAACAATGACACAAACCAACCAGTATCTTAGTTCCTGGTCATCACCTGGAAAAGAAAAGAAAGAATATTTTGAAAATACTCCACTAGAGGGCACTAGACTACCTGTGCTCTTCTGAGCTACTGAGTGACCCAAATTCAAATTGAGATGATAATTCATGTGGCATTTCATAATTTGTATTATTGAATTTAATTGTTTCTGGAAAATAATTTAAAGGGGCAGAAATAAGCAGAACATTTTCGGTTTTGCTCCTTTTGAGTCAAACAGTTTCTCAGAGAATTGTCTTATATATCCAGAGTCATGTAAAAGTAATTTTGAATTGTCTGTAAAGCCAGTAAACGAGTGGCTCCAACTCTACAGAGAGGAAATGTTTCACTGCTGTCTGCTTGAGCCAGAAATAAACAATAATCTATCTAAATGCTTATCATAAAGTGCTGTATGACTCACGTTGTTGATCCAGGGGATGTAGGCGCTGACCCTAGTGAAGACAGAGGGCTTCTTGGGGTAGTTGCAGCCCATGCTAGAGCCGAAGCTCACCACACCGTGGACGTCCCAGGTGCCATCACGGTTCTGACAGTTCAGAGGACCACCAGAGTCTCCCTGAAGGGGAACAAAGAGATGAATGAGATATTTGGCAAAATGTTTCACAGAAGACGGCAAATGCTTTGAGAAAATTAAATGTAGAGATTGTGCTTGAGTGTAACACTGGGATTTAGTTTTATAGTGACTGTAATCCAACATGAGACTCACATTGCAGCTAGCCAGTTCTCCGTCTCCTCCAGCACAGACCATGTTGCTGGTGACAAGGCTGCCCCACCAGTCGGACCTGGTGCAGGTGGAGTGGCCGACCACAGGGAGGAGGGCCTGCTGCAGGATGTCAGCAATAGGACCTCCGGCTTTAGGAGAGAAAAGGCATTCAGATTGAGGGCTGCAGTCAAGACCATCTTATTCAAGGCCAAATCTATTCCAAAACTAGGTTCACAAAGTCCTGCTTCCATTCAAAGGTGGTGGAAACAAAGTTTGTAAAAGTTCAGAAAGTTTTAAGGATTCACAGAGATTATAGATCAAGTTTGTTTGATCCAGTTTCTAAGTAATCAGCACAGAGAATTTTGACCTGGTAATTTAACATTAAAGATATAAGAAAACATTGATGTTGTCAGCTTTTTCTTTATTTAGTTGATAGGACTTACTCCAGAGACGACCCCAGCCGGTGACGTAGCAGGGAGCACCATCAGACAGGATTTCGCCAGAGTCGGGAAGACAGGCAGCCATGATGGTGTCAGAGAAAGTGACAGGAGTTGCCAGCTTGATCAGGGCGATGTCATTACTAGAGCATGAAAGCAAAGACCACATTTAGAAAGAGAATGTTAATGAGGACTGAAAGCTAGGACAGAACAAAAAACAGTCACAGTCGGCCGATGCATTAACAATCATTCCAACAGGAAATACAAATGGACTAATTTTGAATGATGTAAAGTTGTTGTAAAGTTTTGTAAATGGTCTATAGTCTACAAGATGGACGGAAATAACTGAACCCACCGGATTCTGTAAGAGTCCCAGTTCTCGTGGACCACAATCTTGGCGGGGCTGATGGCCATGGAGCCAGGCTCGTTGTTGGTCTTCAGATTGTGTTTTCCCAGGAAGACTCTGTAGGTGCGACTGCTGCTTGGCCACAAAAAAACAAAGAAACAAGGGTCAGAGTTGCTTTGATCTGGCGTCTGTTCAAGAGCACTTTATTAGAACACCCAATTTAACAAGTGCCAACACAGTTACCTTTACTACCATTAGCAATTTAGCATATTGCTGCTAACATAGTTACTGACTTAACTGTTAAATTTTTTGTGCAGTAATTCAACTGTGCAATAATCTGGCATTAATGCTACATTTATAACGTACATTTTGACTAATGTTCTCATCTATACTATTCTTGCATTTTTATTTAACACACTTACTGTATTGATCCCATTTCAATTTTTATTTTTATTTACACTGCGGTTATATATTGTGGTATGATGCACATATTTTACATACTTCTTAATTTACTTTTACTTTTTCTCTATTTAAGAGCAACTGTAACGTGACCCAATTTAATCTTGGGGATTAATAAAGCATATCTAATTCTGATTAAGTGTTCATTTAATTATGAAAGTGTTTAAAATGAATGCTGCAAAAGTCAAATTATTAATCATTAATATCCTGATTTCTATGAAATAGCGTCCTCTGAAATCATTATTTAGAAAAGGAGGAATACTAACAATCAGTGGCCACTTCTTCACTTTAAAGACTAAACTGCATTGCTATAGCAACACTGTGGTTATCTCACATAGCAACACTGTGGTTGTCTCACATAGCAACACTGTGGTTATCTCACATCTGTCACATGTCTGTTATAGCACGTCTCACATGAGTGCTAGAGTCAAATATGCAGCCTTTTTTTCCTTCAATACCGCCTCTATGACTCTATCTACTCTGGGCCCAGCTCTCTTTGTCCTCTGTGCATTTTTGATATCATAACTTTTTATCCACACCTGATGCAGTGAGCAGCAGTGAGGACCCACTGGTTGGAGATCAGAGTGCCACCGCAAGTGTGGTAGAAGTTGCTGCCACTCTTGTACTGCAGAGACACCTGAGGAGAACAAACAACCACAACACAAGGATGTTTTATGACTTTTGGAAATAGACAGAAGACGCAGAATTTAAAGGAGAAGACGTAAAGGAACATGCCTGCCAGGGCCAGCTGTTCTCACGGACATCATCACCACCAACCACCCTGGTGATGGTGGGAGGGTAGGTGGGTCTGCCACACCCGTAGGCTAAGAAACAATGGTACAGAATATGGTGATTCTATGATGGTGACTCAATGTTTCAGAGCTTTTTTTTATAAAAAAAGCTCTGAAACATTGCTCTGAAACATTATGCTATAGCATAAGGGCTATGTGAACTGTTATAGATCACTTCATGTAAAGAATGTTGACGGTCGTATGTAGGAACACATTCAACTGTCTAATCAGAATAGAGTCAGAGCTTACCACCAGCAACAAACAAAGCCAAGATCACGAACTTCATTGTGACTGTCTTCAGTAGAAGCTCAGGGGGACGTGCTCCTCCTTATATAGCCCTTGAACAGACCTGTTTTAGACCTAAAATGTGTTGCTTAACATTCGCCTTGGAGCAGCCAGGTAAAGTTGGTGGGAAAAACAAATCAACCTTGGAGATAAGCAACCACAGATATCCCTAAATACACCTTATCTCCCTGACTCAACCTTTGTGTGAACCTCCCAGATGTCTCACTGTGACCTGAGTTGGCCAGGTCTGTTTTTTTAACTTTAAAGGGGAACTATGGCCATTTTCAAAAATCATTAGTGGACATGAACAACTCTCTCCAAAGTCCAAAAACTAGAGTGCTAAAACTCAAATTTGTGATGTCATTAAGTAAAACTCTGAAGCTGCTCCACAGACGATGAATTGGTAATGTTATAGATAACAGTGAGAGCACCCAGGAGAATGTTCTGAGTATATGAGAACATTTTCTGTTTCAGAACTGAAAATACTACAAGATTTATTGTGTATGGAGCAGCTCCGGATTTTATACTTGATGACATCACAAGTTTGTGACTTATTTATCTGGCTTCTGGTTGTGAGAGAGAAGCTCATGTTCACAAATACTGACTGAACTTTCTGAGGCTTTGGAAACAACATACTGGAATTCTTAATTTAGGTGGTGTACTCCTTTAAAAAGTCCTCTATGGTGATTCGTTCATTTAAAAATAGCCAATTTATTTGTCTTGTTCTGTCAAAGAAAATAAAGGAACCATCCTATTTTTAAATGTGAACATACACAATGTTCACTTAAAATGTAAGTTGTCAGGCTTTTATAACAGAAGTGAGTTTCTGGTCTGGACATCATAAATTCAGAAGAAAGAAATATGTTTCCATGTTAATATAAACATTAAAGAATCTCAAAATATCTAATGAAGTGTGCCCTTTTGTACATTTTAGAAATATTCATGCACAATTAGACTATACAACAAAGCAATTCATTTTAAGAAATTCCACATCAGTGTTTTAATGTGATTCTAATGCTGTTTAGAAACATAAAACACTTTTAAAGCAGCAAATAACGTGATTGTTTTGTAAATGTAATTATTAGAATTAGATGTAATTGTTCTAATGTGTTAATTAAGAATGTATGTACATACATAAACATACATCATGTCGTAATCTGGTGTGTAATTAAATAGTTTGGTTTCTGTGGCGTCTTCTGAGCTGATACTGTAGCTGTAGTTGTTGTGCAATGTTTTTTTCCTCAGTATACTTTTTTTGCACTACTCCAACTTGTTTTCTTAATAAATTATAAATTAAATATTGACATGTATGTAAAATCACAAACTGTTGTTGCTATGTTTTTCCTGTGATGCAAAAATGTTGGCAGATCAATGCAGAGGACTCACTGTTTCAGCCACTATATATAAGAGATGCTATTGTGATTAAACCTTAAGAGCAGACCTGTTTTATGCAGGTAGATGGAGGACAAATTAAAGGAAAAACCTACAAAAAAGAGTGGAGAAACATATCATACAGACACTTCCATGCATCAGGGCTCACTGAATGGTTTGGTGAGTTTGAAAATGATGTGCATAAAATGTTAGGGCCAAATGTGATCTAACGCCTATGTGTGCTTATTAAAGTATCAAAATGTAATATTGCCCTCTCTTTTATTTATCATCAGTCTATCTTAAGTTTGTATATTTGGTATATTTATGCATATTATGTGTATGTAGTGGTTTGTTTGTTTTAATTGTTTGTCTGTGCTGGCCAGCCTCGGGAAGGGGCGGGGTGGGTTTAGGTGTTGTGGGTTCAGAGTGTATATGTTCCATGGTTGTTTTGGTGTCTTGGTTGTTCTAAATAATAATAATAATAATTGAATAATGAAATGTTACAGCCTTTACAGTCACCAGATTACAGACCTATGGAAGATTCTTACGTTTTCCAATTGTATTAATGTGTAGCCTACACACTAAATAAAAACAAAAATCTTTAAACATCTCATCAAATATGTGCATCACAAGTCTACAGCCTGGCGCCTTTTCCTATAGTTTGCCGAATCTCAATAGGGATGGCGTGTCTAGAGTCTCCTTAGTGAGGCTAGCTATTGATGCTAAATCCAAAAAAGAAAATATCTAATTAATAGAGAATTTCATAGTAAGTAGACAGATTTGTTTGCTTTCACCACTAACGCTGCAAAGTACCAAATAATCATAAATAACCCACTGCAGAGTAGCTGCTTTGTTGTAAAACATATTGATGAATGCTCATTCAGACCTATTAGGAATGTTTATAGGCTAATTTAGATTAAATAAACTGTGTTGCCATTACTATAAGGCACAAATTTGCATTGTGGCTCCAGACAAATTAAAAATATTTTGTTTGGGGCCAAAAATGGCTCTTTTGATGGTAAAGGTTGCCGACCCCTGGTGTAAGACAATGCTCTCCATTACACCCAATGATATAACTTTTATATTCAGATCTATTTAGTGTCTGTGACTGTCTCTAATGCTATGTGTCCATTTCTTTCTATTTGCTCTACTCAAGTCTCTCTTAAAAGAAGACATCTTTATCACGGTGATATAACCTGATTAAATAAACTCCATGTTGGTTTCACTCTATCAAAGTAAGAGTGGAATTTGAGTATTACACTGTGACATAACTTTGTACTACTAATTGTACATAAGTACTACAGAACAGTCACAGGAAACATTCAGAGCTTTCCTGAGCAGTGGGAACTTCAGCTGCTGGAAGACGTACTACACTGCTTTGTTAAGGTAATCAGAGTAGGGAGGGCTGTATTTCTCTTGATGATAAAAGCTTAAAAAACTTGTTCAACAAACAAGTTTAAATTATACATAACTCCAGGACACTCTGACCTTGGCCTGGCGCTCCTGGTCATTTCTGACCGGTGTGATGTCCACTTAGCTCCACCCCAGTACTAAGATCTGTCAAGGGGCATATTTCCAAGAATTTGATCCACTTTTTGCAGGTTGCATAACATCATGAAAGGTATAAATTTGTCAGGTGTTTCACTTTAAACTGTGGAGATACAGACATGATGAAGTTTGTAGTTTTTGCTCTCTTTGTCGCTGGTGGTAAGGATCTCACACACACAACACTGTCACAGCCATCTGTCTTGAGCCATTTTCATACACAGTATTTCAGCTCTCTCTACAAACTCAGATAAACAGTAAAAGAGTCTGTCTCTGTCTGTCTCTTCAGCCTACGGGTGCGGCTTGCCCACCTTTCCCCCTGTGGTGACCAGGGTGGTTGGAGGAGTGGATGTCAGGCCTAACAGCTGGCCCTGGCAGGTAAAACATGCTCAGAAAACAACACAACAACTGTCTGAAGAAGACTTTATTTAGACTGCAGACTACATAAGAGTAAAGTTAGTTATAGTCTCATAGTTAAAATATAAAGTTCAGTATTAAGGCTTAAGACTTTAACTCTTACATAAAGCAATGTTGAATTTTGAGGCAAGCTTATTTGCAGGTGTGTAGGTTTTGTTTTACCACTGGGGGCGCGTTTATATGAAACAAGGGGTGCAGGTGTCCTCCCCCTGGAAATTCTGAGTGCAAACAATTAATTTACTGCACTCTGGTGAATTTTTATGCACCATTTTTCCTTTTTTTGCATCAGTTCATCGAGCAAATGTCTTGAATTTCAATAAAATTAAAGTCACATGCCACATTACGCTTTTTAATGGGGGTTGGGAGGGGTTAAAATGCACATGTTCTAAATATTGAGGGGGATGTCTCCACTGTACTCCCCCAAAATCTACGCCTGTGCTTATTTGTATCTTTCAAACGAAGGAGGCAAAGAAATAATTAGATTAAAGAAAACTAATTAAATTAAAATAGAATAAAATTAGATAAATAAAATCAGATAAATTAAATTCAAGAAGAGAAAAAAATATATATAGAAAAAATATAGTTATAGTGCGGTCACAGTACAGGAAGTTGCCCCGAATTCAAAAACAAAAATAAAAGTGTAGTTAAAAAAAATAATCAATCTAAGGCACAGAAAGACAGGACAGTTAATTTATTTATTTGAAAGTGGCTAGAGTCAGGGTGCATTTAATATTGGAAAGAGATTTTTTTACTCTTATTCTACTCTTATTTCATTTTATTGACATATATATTGTACTTAAATTACACTCAGCCTCAGCACAATGATGATACATATTTTATTTTAATATTCTAATATCTCAAGTACTAGTATTAAACAATGTAGCATTATGCTGTAGCAATTATTTTATTGCTTTATATTTACATACTTCTATTTCTACTCTTAGAATTCTCTATTCTTTACATCGGAGCGACTGTTACAAATCATAATTTCCCCTCGGGGATCAATAAATTATTTCTGATTCTGATCCTGATACACAGCAGCATGTGTGCCTGTAAACAGTAAGTGTTTCAGGGCATGCACAGAAAAGAAAACAGAAAAACTTAGATAAAGTTAATCATGTTCATATGTATGTTTTAGATTTCCCTGCAGTACAACAGACAGGGTGAGTGGAGACACACCTGTGGAGGCACTCTGATCTCTCACCAGTGGGTCCTCACTGCTGCTCACTGTATCAGGTATGTCACAGTAAAGCCCAGAATTATTCATGATGACAGTTTATCATATGTTTATCTCCAACATATTATTAGTTCATTCAAGAAATTCTCACAATCCAGTAACAAAGAGCAGCAGTTAATCACACAGAAACATTACTTAGCATATTGTAAGCTAAAGGGTGAATTATTAGGAGGCCCACAAGTCTACATATAATACACAAAATATGGTTGGTTATTGATAAGTGATTGTTTTTAGAATCTTAGAAAAACTGTGGCTTCGCAATCATGTGTATGTTGCTAATATTAGTATGCTAAAGGCTCCAATCTCTGCACTTACACATCAATGCTTCATATTCTTCTCTGTCAACTTGCAGCAATGGCAGGGAGTACAGAGTGGCCATGGGAAAGCACAACCTGTTGGAGACAGAGGAGGCTGCTGTGTTCATGACCCCCGCTACCATCGTCGTGCACGAGAAGTGGAACCCCTTGTTCATCCGGTAAAAAAACGACTTCTCCAAGATGAATATGAATGTTTACAAATGACGAGTCTGTTGAATCTAAATATGTGTGTTTCCTCTCCAGTAATGACATCGCCCTGATCAAGCTGGAGACCCCCGTCACCTTCTCTGACAGCGTCATGGCTGCTTGTCTCCCTCCCAATGGCTTCATCCTCCCACACAACGAGCCCTGCTATGTCACTGGGTGGGGTCGCACCTCCAGTGAGTGCCCAGTTTCCTGCCTCTCTTAATTTAATCACATACTTAAAATATCATCGGAAAATAGTTCCAGTGGTGTGCATCAAATCTCAAAAGACAAACTAGCTGAGACTAGCTGGTTGTGTTTCTCTTTTCTTTGTTGTCTTTAACCTGACCTGAAGTTGAGCTAGTATGCATCTCTCCTCCACACAGCCGGAGGTCCCATCGCTGACATCCTGCAGCAGGCTCTCCTGCCTGTGGTGGACCACGCCACCTGCACCAAGCCTGACTGGTGGGGTCCTCAGGTGAAGGACACCATGGTCTGTGCAGGTGGAGATGGAGTTGTGTCTGGTTGCAACGTGAGTCTAAAATGAACGTATTGTAGCAAGTGCTCTATTGCATCAGTAAACTGAACACAGCAAGCAACACTCACATTTCCTAGACCTCATGTTTGACAGAGGATCATCCTTTCATGAGTCACAGTTCAAAGGTCTAAAAAATGTAAAGAGATCTGTTAGTCTGCAGGTCCTACAAGTAATGTTAGATGTAAACACTGAGTTAAGTCACTGAGTGTTTTTCAAGGACAAGAAGTTATTGTTCAATGTGGAATTTGCACACTGATCATGTTTTCTCTCACATGACTCAGGGTGACTCTGGCGGCCCTCTGAACTGCCAGAATGTTGATGGTGCCTGGGAGGTTCACGGCATCGTCAGCTTCGGCTCTGGGCTCAGCTGCAATTTCCCCAAGAAGCCCACCGTCTTCACCCGAGTCAGCGCCTACATCGACTGGATGAACTCTGTAAGCTCCTGAACCTCTCACTGCATCGCTGTTGTTTTATTTGTGCCATTTTATTGAAGCTTCAAGGATTAAAATATTTAAGAATCTGGATGATATCCCATGTATTATGGATGAAAACATGATGCTTGATCTAACACATCCCTATTATCTCTTCCACAGAAAATGATGGCCTATTGAGAGGACGGGATTTTGAGATCAACGCCACTGTGTGCATATAAAAATGAATAAAATGTGGAACTATATCAAGATCTGTGTTCTTTTATGTTTTGTATCATCTTTATCAGTTCAGCACTCTCCCAAAAAGCCATAAAGCAGAACTGAATCATAATCCTAAGGAATGAGATAGATTATTGACTTACTTTTATTTTGACAGATACATAATCTTTTGAGTTTAAACACTTAAATAGCAGAAAGAGATCCAATGTTCCCCAGTGGGAGTAGTAATGGGAAAATCCTGTCTCCAACCACATGCTGTGTTCTCAGTCTCCACTGCTGTTTGTTTGACTTTCTGCATGTGTCAGCCAGCTTTCTCAGGACAAGTCTATATGCTGGTTAGAAGTCGCTAACATACAGTATAAATACAAGCCTGTTCTTAACACAAAATTTAGGCACACACTACATACTCTACAGTCATGAGGAGTCTGGTGGTTCTCGCTTTTGTGGTAGCTAGCGGTAAGACACTTTCAATCTTTATCACATCAGTAACTCATTTGCTGTAGTATAATCCAAGAGTACTAAGATTGCATTTTATTTGAAAAACACTGTCAAAGCTTCACTGAATTTTGAAGGAATAAACCTCTTGTCGTTGTTTTGTCTGGTGTGACAACTAACCTCGTCCCAGCCTACGGATGTGGCGTTCCCACTTTCCCTCCCGTGCTGAGCAGGGTGGTGGCTGGAGACGATGCCAGGCCTCACAGCTGGCCCTGGCAGGTAATGTCTGGTTTTAATGTGTAAAAACATGTTCATTCTGGCAACCATTGTACCACTACAGACAGAAAAGTGACAAATATTTCTATCTATTTACTCCCTGAATCTTCTTTTCTTTTTCTTTCTTTGTTACTGGTGCAAAAATCAAAAACAGTAGTAACTTTACAGGTACAGAAATGATATAATCAGTGGGGAAAATGTCCAACAACAGACAAATAAGGATGAAATAATAGTAATAACAATTCTTATAATGACATCTTGCAGTTGCAGTTACATCTGGGGAATTTTTTAAAATATGGTATGCATGAATATTTGTCTGATTGTGAGTATGCAAGGGGGGAAAATAAATAAAATAAATAAAAAATGATGATAAATATATAACAAAATAGTCATAATAATAATAATAATTTTAAAAAAAACACTTAAAAAAAAAAGAGTGTGTAGTGATGCAAATTTTCCTTACTCCACTCTGCTCAGATCTCTCTCCAGTCTGACAGCAGTGGGCGCTGGAAGCACGTCTGTGGAGGCACCCTCATCTCCTCTGACTGGGTCCTCACTGCTGCACACTGCATCAAGTATGTGTAACTCCACCCTGTCAATATGATCACAATTACAATACAGCATGTCCTTTTGAAAGGGCGGGAAGGCTGTGGTGAAGGTTTTTGAACATAGTTATTTATGGTTACATATATGGGTATTACTGGTTGCACTAGGGACACATCAGATTGTCAGTTTTGTTACATTTATGATCCACGTCAGTTTTATGTGACTAAGAACTTTGGCTGGTTATCACCTATTTATACTGTGTGGTGATTCAATATTCCCAGCTCATGGGAGCAGTCATATGCCAAACCAAAGGTCTGTGCCAGGAAACTCTCCTCTACCCAAAAGGAAATGATGCGTTTTGCTCTTTATATGATGTTAGTTTGGGGAGTTCTTCAAGAATCAGCAGCAATAGCCGCCATGCCTGAACAGAGGGAAAGAAAAAATTGGCATGTAGTTGTAGAAGTTCAAGAAGATTTTCTTCACACTAAAAACATTTTATAATCAAAAAAAAATGTTTCCAGGAAGTGGATGATCTCAAAGATTACCACTTTAATCAGTTAAAAACAGCCCTGTGTCCTAGGCAACCATGTATTACTTCTATGGGACGACTAAGTATTTACAATCCACCTACATGTCATCTGCCATCCCACAGTAACCGCTACAACTACAGAGTGGAGCTAGGGAAACACAGCCTGAAGACGAGCGAGGAGGGCTCTGTAGCTCTGAGGGCGGCCACAATCATCACTCATGACGACTACAACATCATGCTCAGCCGGTAACAGCTCATTATCAACTCATGAGTCCATGTGAAGAGCGTAATCAGCAGGTGTAAGCAGAGTACTGGTGATCAGTTCACTGGTTTTCTTTGGAATAAGGAGGCTGATGCAGCAAAGCATTACTTTAGTATAAACCATTTCTGTGAGTGTTCAAGTTTTGTTTTCTTCAGAAATGTTTGTGCAAATTCCCGTGAGATGTTATGTCACAGGCACTTGGAGTTTTCACCAGTGATTGGCAGTTGTGTGCAAATGCTGCTCAACAAATTTGACACCAATTGGTCAGATGGGGGCGCTGAAATTAGGGTCCAATAATGAAGTTTTGAAAAGGCCACACCCCTCACACCAAGTCAGATTGACTTGAAATTTGACACACAAGCTCTCAAAAAAGCCTAAAGAACCAATAAGGTCAGCCATTTTGAATAAAAAAACAAAACATTTTTGACATGTGAGGTGTGTAAAATTATTTTAAAATTGTTCAATAGGGGGCGCCACCAGTTCCAAACAACTGCATTGACCTTTCGCAAAATTTGACCATAAATCAATGACAGTTCATCAAAACATCACCAAACCTCATGGATATTTTCAACCAAGCAATTGAAGCATGTCCCCAAAATATTTATACAACTGACCAATGGGAAGTGACAGTGTTGCCAAAGAAGAGCGTAGCCTGGAAGAGGTTTAGACGTTAATGAATGAGCATCTGTCCAACCGTCGGAAGACCTGTTGGTTATCTTTAGTGCTGGTGTCGTTAACTGTAGAGGTCTTGACCCTACCCAGCCTTCATGTTTTAATGGTCCATGCTGGCGTGAACCCCTGACTCACTACTATATTTTTGTTTGTCATTACTTCCTTATTGTGGGTTGATTGTTTTGCCTTTTGCAGTAACGACATTGCCCTGATCAAACTGTCTTCCCCCGTCACCTTCTCTGACACAATCATGACTGCCTGCATCCCAGAACAGGGCATCGTCCTGCCTCATGGTGCTCCCTGCTACGTCACTGGCTGGGGTCGACTCACCAGTGAGTGAACACACCTCAGCAGAATGAATCACTCTCAATCTGCTTTACAAGTTTCCACTCTGGACTTGTGCATGTCCGCTTAGCGGTGTCTGTGCACTTGTCACTCAACCAGGAAAATTCACAACTATTAGTCAGTCAGAAAAATGTGACATGTACCCATCATTTGACATAATTTGTTTGTTAAAAGAAATAAAGAAGAGTTTTTTGTAAAAGAAAATACATGACCAAGGGCTGGAGGACGATACAATGCATTCATGGGTCCGCAGAGCATAAGTGAATTCCCCTATGAGATAAATAACAATCAAAATAAATTTGAGTCCACAATTGGCTATCCACGTAGGCTATACATCAAAGAATAGAAACACTATTGTTTCACCCAGATCCTCTTAAAACAATAGCTTTAGTTCAAGGGAACGTGCTGCACTGCTGCGCAGTCACACTTGACTGAGGTAATAGTTTCACCTTAACAACCAGGGTGAACCTTGTTTTTAAAATGGTACACTCACAGTTTAGTCATGAGGGCTTGATCTATGAATAAAAAAGAGACACAGACCACACTTTTTATTTGTTAAATATTAGGTTCAACTGACTTGATTTCGCTCTGCCTACTGCCTCTGACACAGATGTGGCAAAATCTGATAAATAACCTGGTTTGCAGCCCTCTTATCAGTCAAAGAGATAAACATGTGTGACTGTGACTGTGATCTTCTGGTATTTAACTAGAATTTAGGAGCCTACACACCATTCTTGCACCTTTGGACTGTGTTAACGCTCAGTTAGAAATTGCAGCACAGAGGAAAGTTTGTGAGTGCTAGAGCTATCTGTGAAGTGCTACACACAACTATAAATGGTAGTGTGTGTAATCCAGCATATTCAATTGCTACACACAACTATAAATGGTAGTGTGTGTAATCCAGCATATTCAATTGCTACACACAACTATAAATGGTAGTGTGTGTAATCCAGCATATTCGATGTAGCACATCTGCAGCCAAATGGCTCCAGGGGCATCCCATGTACACTAGTTTTTGTAATAAACTCTCTACCCTGCACACCATCTGTAACAGCAAAGAGTATCTCCCTCCAGCACCCCACCTGTCCCCCCGGGTGAACCTCTGTCAAAGCAAAATCTTGTGTCTTACCCGAGTTAAGCCTGTCTCTTCCCCACAGCCAGCGGCCCTGCAGCTGACATCCTGCAGCAGGCTCTCCTGCCAGTGGTTGGCCACAATATCTGCTCACAGCCCGACTGGTGGTACGTCCTGGCAACAGACGAGATGGTCTGTGCTGGAGGTGATGGCATCACTGCTGGCTGTAGTGTAAGTTCATACCAGTAAATGTTATCTCAAGGGGCAACAGTAATGAATTACGTCATCTGTAAAATTTACCTCCAGCACAATATAAAAGGCCTTTAACTTTTGAAATTGTGGAAAAGGAATCACTTCCTTGATGTCTGTACATAAGCTGCTATAGCTAATACTGTGTGTGCTGACCTGCAGGGAGACTCTGGGGGCCCCCTGAATTGCCAGAACCCTGATGGCTCCTGGGAGGTCCACGGCGTGGTGAGCTTCGGTTCTGGTCAGGGCTGCAACGTCCTCCAGAAGCCCACCGTCTTCACACAAGTCAGCTCCTACATCAAATGGATCAACACAGTGAGGAACATACTCATTTTGCGATTACCTTGCCAGCATAAACAATACAAACTGAAGGCAACAAAGCCTCGGCTCTCAAAAACAGGAAGTGTATTATAATTGTGTTTTCTATTGTTCACTCTGCAGGTTATGACCCGCTACTGAAGAGGCTGTTCGAGAGCTTTGGTCAGCAATAAGAACAACTATGACTTAAAGCGTGTTGTGTCATTTGTTGCTACTGCAAAGTAAAATAAAAAATGCTGTTTATCAGTGTCAACAAATGTTTGTTTGTTAATGTAAAGCTTAAGTGCTGTCCACGACCTGGAAAAACAAGAAGCCCTTTTTTAAGATGGCCATGCAGGGCCTTGATAACTATATGGCATCCAGATTTTTTTCTCACTTTCAGTACAGTAGCTGCATATTAACCAAGCACTGGTGAACAGTAACAAAGTTAGAAAACAGGGATGTCCAAATGTTCAGGGGGTTATGGTGCACAAGTCAACATGGAATTATACACACACACACACACACAGCAAAATACACTCCTTAAACACTGGGGTTAATTAACAAATACTTCCTTTTATTTCTCATAAAATATTCATGAGATAAATTTGTTTTTACTCTTCAGAGACAAAAAATTTCCACAAACAAATTAGAACTACCATAGGAAAGCACATTTTCACAGTAAATATAAAATACATGAAGATTTCAGTAATAAAAAAGCAATAATAAATGAACAAACAGCAAACTTGTGCTTCGGGCACTCGTCTAAGTAAAACAGAAAGTGACAGCTAAATCACAACACTCATTCCATCAATGTAAAACATTTTGACTATGTAGTAATAAAATCAATCGTGTAGTTAAACTGGTACTGTGCAAATGAGGTACGATGACTATGTTTGCAGTACTGAACATGACAAAAACAAAGATTTTAATAGGCTGCATGGCGTTTCCACTTTGAAAATAAATCAGAGAAATGTAGACGTTAAAATGTTGAATTTAAAAACCTGAAGTGCCACAATGACCTCATTGCCTCTTGCATGACAGTGACAGAGGAAGCCTTTTTTGCAATAACTACACTGAGTTTTATTTCAACACAGTGAGAAGCGGGATGATGAAATCATTAATGAAAAGAGGAAAATAAACGTGTGCAACTTAATGTTCAACTGAATGACTGGTATTTGGCTTCAGCTGTGCATATCAAAACAAATCTACCCTGAAGAAGAAAAAGACAGGTATTGATAAAATAATGCACGGTAATGGAGCTCAAACCAGCTCTCTGCACATCTGTCTTCTCTGTTGTGCTCATTCTCTGCATACTTCTAAGTGAACACAGGGCTGCAAGTCAAGCTGTGGTTGGGGGAATGGTGATGAGCAAGCCAGTGAGCAATAGTTGCTGTTGTTTTGGCGCAGCTGCACAGTCAAAGAGTCTTTCTGTTGGTCATCTCGAGCAAAAACAAGCCCAGATTGAAGCGGAGGCTACTGCCTTCACAGCTCAACAGTGTTCACCATGGCTACGGGGGGAAGGCTTTCAACTATTCACATGAGATCCTTCCATTATGCTATCACATACTCCCTCCTCTACCCGCTGTTTGCAGGAGTACGGGCAACACTGCATTGGAATACCAACATTAGAGCTCAGGTTCAGTCATACAATGTCAGTGAAAGCAGTAAAGGTGTGAAAACAAAGGCACTTAACTGTACTTTAGCGTGGACAACTGCTGCAATCAGTTAGCATTAGCACTCCTTAAAGACTCCATGAGATGAGACTGTCAACTTCCCACAAAATAGTTTCTTCCTAATAAGTTATTTCTCTTAAAAAGCAACCAAATGATGACCATTGATACTGTACTAGTAGGTATAAATATACATTTTATGCATTAAATCCTTAACAGAGCACCCTCTTGTAGAGAGGCCAAGACCCTCCACGTCTGGTGGACAACCATGGGACCTAAATTCAGAAAAAAATATGTACTGTAGTCAATGAGAAGAGACAATTAATTTTTGATCCCCTCAAAATGTCAAGAAAGAAAGTCAAGAAAGTTGCAGTTTGTTCTGAAACTGTAAAAGTATACGTTAAAATGCGTATTTAGGAAGACTACACAAGTCACGTAGGTAACGTCATACTTTCTCTCTCGCTGTGTTTTGTACGACATGAACTCACACGAGAAACAGGACTTGCTCCCAGCTGAAAAAAAGGCCAAGGGTCGCCGGATTAAACACATCAAGCAAGATAACATTACGTTTTGTGCTTGAAACATAGCTACGTTAGCTAGCTAGCTGGCTATCAGGCGTTGGTGACATGTATATTATGCGATAAAAAAGATGTAGTCTAGTTCACTGAGCAGTTTCACACAAAACCAAAAAGTACTACCACAAACTGCGACTTTCCTGATTTGAAAAAAACATGTTTCAAATTAACAAACATCGTGTGTGTTATTCACGGCACAATTCAAACTGGATTTTTTTTTTTTCTTGTCTCTCGCCGTTGACAACTGTACATAGTTTCCAAAATAAGGTCCCGTACAGAGGATGGGCTTTGCCTCTCTATTCTCTACCTAACTGACAGCCAGCTAATTTACACTTTTGAATAGCTGTTTGGTCGTATGTTCACAACTGACTCCAGAGCTAATTGTTCAGTTTTTAGCACAGACTGTATGGTCGTCTAATGAGAGCATGCTGCCTGCCTGGCACCAAAGGAGAGAGAGAGAGAGAGATAGATAGATAGATAGATAGATAGAAACACAACTCCAGTGGCATGCTAATCTTATTTTCTAATCAGGCAGCTTTTTGCAAGCCCCTTAACCATGATAAATTGATAAGCTGATGGCTTATCAGAGCTGTGTGTCTGAGAGTTTGTTTTAGCGTCTTTGTGCCCTTTAAAGGTCAAAATTTCTTAATACAGCTTTCAGAAAGTAAAGGTACTAACTTAAGGCACATTTAATAAAACAACTAACCACAGAAATTCAGTGATTTTAGCCCATGTCCTGCTTAGTAAAGAAATACCCACAACTTTAAAGGGATAGTTTGGTTTTTTTAAATTGGGTTGTATGGGGTACTTATCTATAGACAGTGTATTAATACACTAAAAGGTGGTTAGCATGCCCCGAGTTTGGAGAAGCAGGAAGGAGTACTGACACAGAAGCTAAGCAATGTACTGCTGTGGACAGGGTCAGCAGCTTACCTTATTTAAGCCACCTAAAAAAAATCAATACCAGTTTAAGTGTACGCTATATTTAAAAATATTTTAACCATGTTACCCCACCCTCAGACAGTGAATTCTGATGGGAAACTGAAGCTGTTACATCACTCTCTTCAAAGCCAGACCCCACTGAGAAAAACAGTAATTTAACATTGCTGAACACAGGAAGTGCTGGTCAAGCAACATAAAAAAATAGTGTAACAGTTTGAGCATATGCTACATTGAAAGTATTTTCACTGCTGTACTTTGCTGGAGACAGATGGGTAAGCCATTAAAGTAATCTATTCCCCAACAATGATCTTAGTTCGCAGAACACAGGAGCTGCTGGTCCAGCTGCCTTGATCTGTTAGTTAGCTTGTGTTACTGTTTGACTTTGGTGAATCCAAACTACCCCCTTTAAACGGCAAAGTCACACAATAAAACAAAGACAATAACTGATCGAGGTATCAGCAGCTCCTGTGTTCAGCAAGATTAAATCACTGTTTTTCTTAATGGAGTCTGGATTTGAAGATGGATTTGATTTGTTTGACTGAAAGCAAAGGAGTGAAAATATTCTAAATTAAGTATACACTTGATTGTTTTGGGTGGCTCTCCAAACTGGGGACATACCAACTGACATCTACTGTGTGTAATACACTGACTATGGATAAGTACCTCATACAACCCCAATTCAAACGACCTGAATTATCCCTTTAACCTCGTGAACAGCTGTTTCATTTTGGCCTCCAGTTCATTCCACCAGACTTTGTACTGCGTAGGGTTTTGTCTTTCTAAGGAGAAACATAAAACTTGGCTTTTCTCTTAAATATGCTGCTGTACTGGATGGTAACATTTGAGTGACTTGATACTTCTAAGATAAAACAAGTGATACTTTGGTGGCATTCAACAATTTCAACTCCCATTGGGTTTTGGTAGAGTGCCTGTTGTTAAGAGTCATGGGAGCTGTAGCTGATAAATTCCAACAAAGCTCTGTGGTTACAAGTAGACGATTCTTAAATGGTGCTGTCCAGTGGTCACCCAGTGCCATGTTTAAGCTTTTCAAGGAGACCGATAAAGAAAGCCATCTGACCCAAAGCTAATATGGAAGCAGGGAGGGACTTCAGCAGTAGCCTCTCTCCAACACTGATCAGCATTTACCAGAATAGTTGCTTATTTGCTGCAGAGCTCTAGAAGACCCGGAGGGACTATGTTGTTGACAGTGAGGGAGAGTATCTGTGCATACCACAGCAGGTCAGGCCAGCTGAGCACATACAATGCTCAGTCACACACCATGGAGCCTACATTTGGTAAACCACTGGCAGTAGTAATCCAAAGCCTCCCAGGGTGAGACACAGCCCAAGCAGCAGCTACTTTACAAAATGAGCGCCCTGCATGTATCTACTTAAGTGTGCACACAAATCCTCACCATAACCAGTCAGTGATGTCCTGTGATGACAGTCAGTGCAGAGTGGAGAACATTAAGATAATGCAAAAACAGAAAATGACTGAGATAAAGGAAAACTGCCTTTGGTGTGTGCTTTTAATCCAATGCGCCACCGCGTGACAGAATCAGTCAAACTGTGAAGAAGGCTCCAGTAACTGTGTCCATTACTATCGGTCCGTATCTGTTTCAGAGATCCAAAATTTAAAAAAGGTTTCTGTATTCCATGATTTGGAGCGATGTGGCACAAGAGAAGAGTTAGAACAGATGCTGTATTTTCTAAAAAAAAAAAAATACAAAGTGCCTCTGAGAATGTTCTGCAAGAAAGGCCATCTTCAAGTCTTAAAACCACAGATCCAGATCCATGACAGGTGATCATGGAGGACTCCAGGAGTTTCAGCAGACTGTTTTAAACACCATCAGCTTGATCTCAGATCGGAGGAACTTTATCCTCATACTGCGGCGGAGGGGTGAGTGGCTCTATACTGAATCCAGCCGGCGGCTGAGAGTTATCAGTGTTTTTCATGTGCAGCTTCTCTGATTTAATCCTGCGGATCTTGATAGGGAGGAGCTTGCGGGTGTTTTTCCCAGCTCTGCGATTTGATGTGGAAGCAGCAGCACTGGGAGCTGTGGGAGCACTGGAAGCTGGAGCAGGCTGTGCTCCGGTTGGTGTGACCTCTGGCCCCTCGAATTCATACTGTACACCATCAACTTGGACAAGGTCATCGTAGGAAGGTAGCTGGGAGGTGCTTGGGCGAAGGTTGCTCTGACGGACAGGGTACTGGCCACTGCCTACTGCCTCTTCATAACTAGGTACAGCGTAGCGTTGGGCTTGTTCCTCAGCACTGCAGACATTTAGAGACACATAAAGACATGAATGACACACATTAACATGTTTATGTAATCATTATGTGTACTCTGTTAGGTCCTGTACTGGAGTGCTGCAAAAATGAGTCCTGTAAACAAGTTTGCACTTTTACAATACTGGTTCCCTCGTCTCAAAGTCAGTGGAGTTTTTGAATGGGTTTTTGGTTACGACAAGCTTAAGAGATTTTCATGTTTTGTTCCACAAAACCGATTTACTCACAAATCCACCTTTACAGCCTTGTTGATTTTGTACTCCTGCTACACTTTTTTGGGTCGTCTATGAAAAAGAACGTGAAACTGGCAAATGACACAGCCATGACCACCAGCAAAGATAAGCTCACACTAACAGGAAAGGCTTTTGTAGAAGAGCTAAGGGTGCAAAAGTCAAATTACAAGTTGAAGGTAGGGCTGGGGGACATAGTGAAAATCAAATATCACCACATTTTTGACCAAATACCTCAATGTCCACAGTGTGATGATATTGTATGGTTGTACTTGTGCTTTCACAAAATATTTACACAACGAGATTTTTGATAAATAATCATCAGTAATGTGGAGATAATGACTAAATAAGCAAAAGCTACAGTCAAAGACAACATTTACGACATTACGATATCCACAATCTCATTTGACATCTAGCCTTTTTTCATGATATTGATATATTGGCCAGCCTTAGTTGGAAACTTTGTGATTGTGACACTGAAGTCATGCAACCTTGGTGTAGTTTGTTTATAGCTTAACACTGGCTTTGTACCTCTAGTGATTGCATTTATGCTTCAAAAATTATAAAAGTGATATTAATTTGTAAAGATTATCTTGCTGAATAGAACGTGCAAGTATCATAAACTTATTTATGATACTTGCTTATTTACTGCAATAATGCAAAATCCCATCCGCTTTTTGTCAAAAGGAACAAGCACAATATTAACTTCTGGTTTGGCCTACAAAAAAATATCATCCCTGCAGCACTCTATATATAATTGTTATTCTCAAATGTGTCATGTTAAATGTAAAGCATATTGCCTGTTTGGCTATAAATCACTCTCTGTGATTTCTGTCAAATATGTGCTAGCTCTCACAAAATATTCAAGATTTGACAGCCTGACATCGAACAGCATGGACTTGACGAGCTGTGATGTCAGTCTATATATATATATATATATATATATATATATACACACATATACATATGTAAAAAAGCAAACATGGCTGTTACTAAATGGAAAATTGTTAGCTTCTTGAATTAAAAATGTTCTCAGAACTTTTAATAGGCATATGGCCTCTGTAACTTGACAAGAAGAAAGCCAGATACAGTTTTAATGGATTATCCATCTAATCACTGATTTTTATAATACACTGAAAATAAGTAATTTTGCCCATATAACAGAGAGAAGATGTATAATCTGTTGAGAATTTTTTTGAGCAAACAAAATAAACCACCATTTTTTCAAACATGCACAAGATAGTTAGTTTACCTGATCTTATTCATTTTCTGCTCAATGACACAACAACAAAAATCAGTTTGTCAGTTTGATCAAAGTTTTGTTTAGCCAGAAAGCCATGATTGGACTCACGTTTCTCTGTCTTCCTGCTGCCGAGCTGCCTCTGCTCCTTGGTTCTGCCTCTCCAGGAGCCTCTGCTGCTCCCGCTGCTTGTTCCTCATTCCCAGACACAAGGACAGCAGCAGCATGGCCACTCCAGACCCCACCAAGACAAAGGCCACAGAGGACGCTTTATGTTTCCTGTCACCAGTATCACCCACTCCACCCGAACTGCCGCTGCTGCTGCTGCTGCTGCTATTACCGGCCGCGTCGGCAGGTACTACGCTCCACACAATCATCACGATACCGAGGGCGACAAGCCCCACCCCCAGAGCACATAATGCATACTGGGAACCTGAGTTTCCACTGCTTTCACTGCTGCTGTTGTTGTTATGGTTGTTGGTGCCAGTGCCTCCTGCTCTGTCAAGGGGGCTTGGTGGTCCAGCCACACTAGAACGCATCTTGTCAGTCCCTTAACTTCAGTCAAACCAGCTCCAGTGAGGTCAAAAACTGTAGAGAGAAAGGCACATAAGGTCAGACAAAAACCGAGAAACCTATATCAGAATGTCACAGAAAACAAACCAAAAAATCAAAATGTGTATCATCATTCCTGGTCTGTCTGTAAAATACCACTCACACTGAAAAGACACACACACAATAAGCCTCCTTACTCCTCTGACATTTATCTATATCTGAAGTGGTGTGGCTCTCACGAGTCAGAGCTAACCTGTCAAATAAAGATGCTGCCTCTCAGAGATTTGTTCTTTATGAGAGGCCAAACCCATTTCTCGTAGAAAATGACAAACCATGAATTTCATTGGAGTAAAAATACCTCTGCAGATCCTTCTGTGAATGGGTGTGTTACACAGTAAAAATTTACAGCAGACTGGCCCTTCAACGTCACTAGTTACCCATTGTCAACACATTAAAAGGGTAGATAAGGACAGCTGTGGCTACTATAGAATATAATAGTATCTTGGCTTTACAGTATAAAGGTTTGCTTTGTTACTTTATTCTTCCATCTTTAAAATCTTATATTGATCAAACATTAAAAGAAATATGATTAATCTAGCATTAATTTAAAGTGGACACTGTGGACTTGGTTTTTTGATTCATGCAGGATTATTGGTTATTGTTTGTGAACACACTCATCAGTAAAAGTGAAAGTAAAAGTCAACCCAAGATTCAGTCTCATTTGGTGTTTCATTTCCCTTTGCGTTTGTTGGTGTTGTGTCTCTTGGATGCCTGCTGCTTATGGTCTGGAAGCTAGTCCGAAACTTTTTTGAAAACCTGACTTCACCTGTGCTGTGTGGGGGACACGCCCATAAACATCCCAAACATAGAAAATAAGAAAATAATCCAGGCAGAGGATAGAGTCTCTGCAGAAATATACACCAAGTGATGACTGAGAGGAACTACTTCTGTATGAGTCTTGCATAATATATCTATATCTCTAATTTTTATTATGATGTAAATGTCCAGTGTTTCCCCTACCATTATATTAGGGGGGCGCCCCCTACGCCTGTACGCATTTATCTCTCATTAAACAAATGTTTGTTTTATGGGCATGTCTATGAACTGTTTTGTGGCCCTGCCTGAACCTGAGTGTTTGTAAGACCTTAAAAAACAATGGTCTTTCCCCATCCAAGTGGATAAATGACCCAACACGATGTCAAGATATTGCTAATCCAATCATCTATACATAATTAATTCAATCACCAGCTATCATTGGGCTCAGTGTTGTCTGTAAATACACAGCCTGTTAACAGACAACTATTTGATCTAGGCTGAGATTCAGTCAGAGACACCAGTCTGGTGCTACTACACTGAATGAGTCAGTCTGACTGTACTGCAGCCGCCTCCCACTCAAGTTAGCTGTCTATCAGAAGTTACTGTGAGCAGCAGCATTTACTACACTGATAGAGACTAGTCATCTAAATGTGCCTCAAATCTCAGTGTGAAAGCCTTGGTTAACACAAAGGCCTCCTTATGTGACAATGTGGTCTATGCCTTGGAGACAAAGCCTTTCTATCTTCTATCTTTAAGGACATGGCAGGGGAGCAAATCGAACATTAATATTTTGGGATTTATTGTTGGTGCCACTAACACAACAAGTCAGCATATTTTTCCCCAAAAGAGGGTGTGGTGATTAAAGCCTGCTCTGGATGACATATTGCCAGTTTGATGCATGCAACTCTGTCTGCCACCGGGTTAATGAAGGCCCAGTTCATGTCAAAAAGAAAGTGTGTCAACAACTGCCAGGAAGGGGGCAGCACTTTAGTTTTCCACAGTAGGTATCAGTAGCTATTATGAAAGATTGCTTTTAGATTCCTTGCAACATATACCTGGAATGAATTGCAGTGTACTTTGAAGCTTGATACTCTGGTTCCAATGCATCAATTCAGAAATCTAGTCTAGTACACATATATATTTATACTGTGCTACATTGCACTTTTTAAATTGATAGTTTTATTCTACATTGCTATTTGTGTACTCAGGTCTCTCTCTTGAAAATGAGATCTCCATCTCAACGGGACCTACCTGATTAAATAAAGGTTTATACATACATATATACAGTACAGGCCAAAAGTTTGGACACACCTTCTCATTCAATGCGTTTTCTTTATTTTCATGACTATTTACATTGTAGATTCTCACTGAAGGCATCAAAACTATGAATGAACACATGTGGAGTTATGTACTTAACAAAAAAAGGTGAAATAACTGAAAACATGTTTTATATTCTAGTTTCTTCAAAATAGCCACCCTTTGCTCTGATTACTGCTTTGCACACTCTTGGCATTCTCTCCATGAGCTTCAAGAGGTAGTCACCTGAAATGGTTTCCACTTCACAGGTGTGCCTTATCAGGGTTAATTAGTGGAATTTCTTGCTTTATCAATGGGGTTGGGACCATCAGTTGTGTTGTGCAGAAGTCAGGTTAATACACAGCCGACAGCCCTATTGGACAACTGTTAAAATTCATATTATGGCAAAAACCAATCAGCTAACTAAAGAAAAACGAGTGGCCATCATTACTTTAAGAAATGAAGGTCAGTCAGTCCGGAAAATTGCAAAAACTTTAAATGTGTCCCCAAGTGGAATCGCAAAAACCATCAAGCGCTACAACCAAACTGGCACACATGAGGACCGACCCAGGAAAGGAAGACCAAGAGTCACCTCTGCTTCTGAGGATAAGTTCATCCGAGTCACCAGCCTCAGAAATCGCAAGTTAACAGCAGCTCAGATCAGAGACCAGATGAATGCCACACAGAGTTCTAGCAGCAGACCCATCTCTAGAACAACTGTTAAGAGGAGACTGCGCCAATCAGGCCTTCATGGTCAAATAGCTGCTAGGAAACCACTGCTAAGGAGAGGCAACAAGCAGAAGAGATTTGTTTGGGCCAAGAAACACAAGGAATGGACATTAGACCAGTGGAAATCTGTGCTTTGGTCTGAGGAGTCCAAATTTCAGATCTTTGGTTCCAAGCGCCGTGTCTTTGTGAGATGCAGAAAAGGTGAACGGATGGATTCCACATGCCTGGTTCCCACTGTGAAGCATGGAGGAGGAGGTGTGATGGTGTGGGGGTGTTTTGCTGGTGACACTGTTGGGGATTTATTCAAAATTGAAGGCACACTGAACCAGCATGGCTACCACAGCATCCTGCAGCGACATGCCATCCCATCCGGTTTGCGTTTAGTTGGACGATCATTTATTTTTCAACAGGACAATGACCCCAAACACACCTCCAGGCTGTGTAAGGGCTATTTGACCAAGAAGGAGAGTGATGGAGTGCTGCGGCAGATGACCTGGCCTCCACAGTCACCGGACCTGAACCCAATCGAGATGGTTTGGGGTGAGCTGGACCGCAGAGTGAAGGCAAAGGGGCCAACAAGTGCTAAACACCTCTGGGAACTCCTTCAAGACTGTTGGAAAACCATTTCAGGTGACTACCTCTTGAAGCTCATGGAGAGAATGCCAAGAGTGTGCAAAGCAGTAATCAGAGCAAAGGGTGGCTATTTTGAAGAAACTAGAATATCAAACATGTTTTCAGTTATTTCACCTTTTTTTGTTAAGTACATAACTCCACATGTGTTCATTCATAGTTTTGATGCCTTCAGTGAGAATCTACAATGTAAATAGTCATGAAAATAAAGAAAACGCATTGAATGAGAAGGTGTGTCCAAACTTTTGGCCTGTACTGTATATATATATATATATATATATATATATATATATATATGATATATATTACGCATTACGATACATAAGTCCATCCATCTTCTAACCGCTTATCCTCTTGAGGGTCATGGGGGGGCTGGAGCCTATCCCAACTGACATTGGGCGAGAGGCAGGGTACACCCTGGACAGGACACCAGACTATTGAAGGGCTGACACATAGAGACAGACAACCATTCACACTCACATTCAAACCTACGGACAATTTAGAGTCACCAATTGACCTATCCCCAACCTGCATGTCTTTGGACTGTGGGAGGAAGCCAGAGTACCCGGAGAAAACCCACGCTGACACGAGGAGAACATGCAGACTCCACACAGAAGGGCTCCCCCACCCGGGATTGAATCGATATCGATACGCAAGTCCTGATACATAAGTCACGATACAATATTATTGCGATTTTACACCTGCTGCAATATGCTGAATATCGCAATAAAATATATTGCGATTTATTCCCTTTTATTCAACTGCAACTTACGTCCCAAAAGGAAAATTTTGTCGACATAAACAGTTCTATCCAATAAAAAAAGTAGTTAGTCTGCTCATCTCACATCAGTAATTCTTATTGCAGCAAAATGTATCTAGTGGACTGAAAAAGCAACTGATTGTATTATTCTAACAGGCTACTGAAAGTTGAATTTATATTTATATTAATAATTTATATATATTTTTTGAAAATTCATACTTGGTGTGTGATGATACGATACTGCCACACAAAAATATTGCGATACAATGCAGTATGGATTTCCCCCCACCCCTAGGAGCTATCACCAGTTACCATAGAGAATGAGTGTCAGTTCTCTGCAGTCACTATCCACAGTAGCAGAAATGGTGGACAGTGGAACAACCAAAGTAGTTGTGGAAACTGTGGTAGGCTCTGAAGAAAGCAGAAAGTGATCGAGTTGTCTTCGTGTCAGCGTCCCGACAATAATACCACTTGGAAACGCTGGAGGCGAAAAGTTTAAAAGTTTTCTGTTTCTGTTTTCACTGTTGCACACAGTGAAATGATTCTCTAAGATGCAGTGAGCATGACCAGTCAGCATACTTGCACATCTACTGCATACTTAGTACACTGATCACTGATCACAAGACCACCCTGCAGTGTGACTAATTTATCTTTGCTACATCAGAGTCTTATGGGGACTGCTGGGAACTGCAAATGACAGAAAGAAATAAATTAACTATCTATATGTGTATACATAACCTCTATAGCTCTGCATGAATAAAGTATGTTTGTGTACTCTGCAAACGTGCCCAGACCTGCTGGGAGTGAGGGGGTTAGTCTGAAGTACTAAAGAATGCATGGCATGAGACTGTATTAAGCTCATCATGGCAGCTGGGCACATACAAACTGGACTCTTCATATTAGACTGCACACACACATCACACACACGCCTGTTGAGCACTCCAGAGTAACATTCACATGAAGATGTTACACATTATGGGCTGGTGTGGGGCGTGTTACAGTCCAGCCTGAGGGTTATTATTTTACCACGACAGGTTTTACAGTAAAGACACTGATATTCCCGCTCATAAAACCATTATTCACACACACACACACACAGCTCTGTACAGCATGTGGTGTGTGTGTGTGTGATCTGGTGTGTGTGAGGAGGGGTTTTCGGCAAAGTCGGAAATAGCTCTGCAGCCAACTGTTTCTAAAATGACTCTTTGTTTGATAAACAGTGCAGCTCGTTACATGTAACAGATATCTGTATGTGTGTGTGTGTGTGTGTGTGTGTGTGTCTGTGTGTGTAAGGTTAGACCCTGTTTAAACTCCCATATTAACCGTGTTTACCGTTGTTTCGCTAACACACACGGTGCAGGGTCTGTCGCTCTAACACACTGGGCGGGTTGCTTACGTTGTCCACAGCAGGATACGTAAACGCAGCGCAACGAAAACTTTCCAGAAGCTTTAAAAACTGAAGTGAAACTTTTACTAACATTTCAGCGACACAACTGAATAACCCCAGTATACCAGTATATCGGCTTTACACTCACCTTTGCATCTTTCGGACAATAACCAACTCCTGGCCTCTTCTTCTTCTTCTTCTTCTTCTTCTTCTCAGAGCCGGGTGGTGTTGCGTTCAATGTCAAACTGTGCCGACTCAGACAGACAGACAGGAGTGTATGTGGCACAATTTGGGGACAAACAGCGTTTCTGGGTCAGGAGGAACTTTCCCTATGAGACGGATGGGCCCAGACAGACAGAGGCAGAGCAGCAGCAGGAGGAGGAGGAGGAGGAGGAGGAAGGAGGGGGCTCACTGCTGCACTTCCAGTTTCATTAACCCTTTCACTCTCGGCTTTCTTGACAGATGGAGAGAAAGTATGTGGGCAAATATTTTTGGTATTTCTGCTTACTTCATCGCAGCCCAGGTGTGTTCAGCGTCCAGCATCTTTTTGCAGTGAGTTTGGTTTAAGTGTACTGGACCCTTTTATGTTTGCTGTGGTGTAAACTGCCTGGAAAATACAAAACAATCAAGATCTTTATCTTATGACCAAGAGAAAATGCTTCAGGATATTCTAGCGACTTTTCTGTGAAGAACTTTGTAATTTGGCACTAAATGTATGCAAAATAGCCACATAGTGCATATCCAATTAAAGGGGAACTACGCCCATTTTGAAACTTACATGTACATTGTACACATATATGTTATTCCTATGGTCTCGGACAGTCCAAAATATTTTAAGGGGTGTCACACAAGAGGCAGTGCCAAAACATTCTCACCCCTACCTCATCACATTTGTGTCTTTGGTCATGGACCGTCCATGTCCAGATACAACCTGAAAGGTACCGTGGGTGTTGGTTGTTGACGTTCTGGGACACTGTGTCAAGTTCTGCCTGTCACATGCATTTCTGTTTTCAAAATAAATGTCCGTTTTCACAGGCAATTTACCATTTACATACAGTCTCTTTCAAAATAAATGCACTTCTGTCAGTACAACGAATTGACAACTATGGTTAGGTTTAGGAAAAAAGAACAGGGTTTGGCTTTATAATCTCACAGGAAGCTAACACCCCTCTCTCAGGTGAAAGTCTGTTTGTTGGACCCATCCACCACCCCTCCCACCTGCCTTACTGAGACTTTTGCTGCCTTAACTTTCCCTCTTTTCTGCAACGTTTCCCCCAGAACACCTATAAACTATAACAGCGACCAGCTGCATATCATGTCGATGTTAAAGGACAGCTTTTTTTCGTCAGTGTCTGACGCCACAAACACCGGATTTCAATGACTTCGGATTGAGGCCGGGTTGGCATTGCCCTTGTACTGAATACTTACTTGTAAAACTTCAATCAAAAGCCTTGTCCCAGTTAAACACCCCTTATACAACCCTGGTGTGGCGACACATTTAACAAATAATGGCCTGTCTCAACTAGACACCTGGTCAAGTTTTTTTTTTTTAATAGAGGTTCTTCAGATGTATAAAACTAGATTATTGGCTACCTCAAATTATGTGTCCATTCCTTGATTACCCTGTAAGTTATTTCTTTTAGTCCATAAGGATCTTCAGACTGAAAGAATCAAAAGGGCTTTTCTTAAAAATGAATCCAAGTTGTGGGTATTGTTTTAACAGGATACAGTGGTGTTGTGTTGGTATGCTGGATGTCGTAAATGTCTATCTCTCTCTGACGCTCTGTCTGTCTGAGCTAGATCAAATTAATGATTCATGATTGATATATTATCTGAAGCCTAATTTTTATAGGCTACATGTAATAGTCATACTGGTTTAAATAGACAATTTGATTATATTTCTCGAACTTTGCTGATTAACAGTTTTGTGTGAAAGGAATTAAAGTCCGTTGATTTCAGTGATTTAAGCAAATAATAGCACAGGCTATGTCTCTCGTCCTGTAGAGGGGACCCTGCTCAGTTGCTCATTTGTTAAAGAGATTTTTGGTGGGAGTTTTTCCTTATTCACTGTGAGGGTCCAAGGTCAGAGGGATGTCAAAGGCTTTAAAGCTTCTAAGACTAACTGTGATTTGTGATATTGGATTTTATAGATCAAACTGAAATTAAAATTGAACTGTACTGACTATTTGTACAGCCCTTTGAGGCAAGCTTTGTGATTGGGCAACAATGAACTTTGAATGGACTAATCTCTAAAGCACTTTGGGTTGCCTTTGGGTATGCAGTGTACTATAAAAATAAATAAATTTGCCTTGCCTTTTTCGCCTGGCCTTTATGCCAAAAAAAAAAAAAAAATAAAGCTTGTAGATTTACCTCTGTGGTATGCAGCCCACTGAGTGTGAACACTATTGTCTCTCCCCCTGGCCCTGCCTGCCATTTCCTGCTAGGCTCATGACTTTACATTTTGATGATGTCACAGATTTTTTAAAATGCTTTTCTTGGCTCAAAGAAAGTTTGACAAATATAAACCCTCCATGTGTCAAAAGTGCATAATAGAAAAAGTCATAACTGACCTCATTTGTAGTCTGAGGTGTCCTTTCAACAGTTTAACAGACACTCTTTTATAATGATGGGAAAATGCTCTTTGGGCCACAGGGGATTTATTTTGCAGGAATAACACCAGTGGGCACTGGGAATAATTAAAAGGAAGGCTGAGCAGCGCTCCTTGGGGCCTGACGGCATACACAGTTGTGGTGCAGGCTTGTGACAAATCTGAGTAAACACCTTGATCAGACAGAACCATTACGACATAGGCTGATGCCACGAACACACCTGGAGGTTTGCGCCACACCAAGGCATGTAGACAGGGAAGCACTTCAGTATGACATCACTTACTAATCCTTCAGTTTATTCTGCTTGCTGCTTTCTCTATTGACTTTTTTTTAGCAAGACCAAGTTTTCACCAAGGTTTGTGGTGAAGTATGGATACTTCACCGCTTCTTTTCTTTTTCAGGAGTTGGGAAAGGGAATGTATATGGTGCATTTTCCATTTCAGAGCTGAGAACACTAGAGTATGATAAAGATCATTTGGTATAAAAAAATTTAAAAAAAAAAAAAAACATTCTGTGGGTCAACAAAATCAGTCTCCCATTCATTGTCTATGGAGCAGCTCCAGACTTTATACACTATGACATCACAAGTTCGAGACATACTTCTCTGGTTTCCAGTGTTGGGCGAGCTATTTGGAAAATGTAGTGAGCCAAGCTACTAGTTTCTCTACATCAAAATAAAGTTTTACTACACTGAAGCTATCTCCAGAGAAATGTAGCGAGCTAAGCTATGAGAAAATGCTTGCTACTTGCAAAGCTACCTTTTTTTTTCCAACTTCATGTCAAATCAGCATTATTGCGCCCTCTCTTTCTCTCTCCTCTAACTTATTAATGCATTTCTCTGTCTTGACCTCTTTCAGTAGACTATCTGGCTACGTCAGTAATTCAAAAAACAGGATTCTAAAATAAATTTCTGACTCAATAAAACCATAATAAACAAAAGACAGTAATATGAACAATAAAAATAACAGACCTAAATTAAAACTTTTCTTTTTTGGGGGGACATTAGAACATGAACACATCCTGACAATAAAACATGACGTCAGTGTGTCACTCTGTCTCTCCTCTCTTCATTCTTAATACTGTTTCTGTGTATCTCTGGCTCTTTTCTTGGCCCTTGTCGTGCCTACTTCTCTAGTGCCCACTGCAAATCCACCAAATATACACAGTCTATGGGCAAGACACATTGAGAGACATGTCAAGAAGTGCAATGTCAATCGGAAGCAGAGCAGGGAGAAGCAAGAGAAGCCAATAGTGAAAGCAGCAAGCAGAATAAACTGAAGGATTAGTACAGTATGTGATGCCATGCGGAGGTGCTTCCCTGGTCTACATGCCGCGATGTGGCGCTGGCGTCAGTCACACTACTTATCCTCATTTTCTTATCCTTAGTTTTATGCAGACCTCCACAGAAAAAAACAGTTTGCTGCACTTCAGAGCTTTTCTAGGGAAAAAGCTTGTAATCGCGCTACTAGGTCAATTATTCACCCTTGCTACTAGAAAAGCCATTTGACTCAGAAAGTAGTGACGTTACACCACGCTACTGAGAAATGTAGTTAAGTTAGTAACTACTTGTAGTGACACTTCTGCCCAACACTGCTGGTGTCTGGTTTAAGAGATAGTAGCTCATGTTCACGAATATTAACTGAACTTTTCAAGGCCTTGATAATAACATATTGGAATTCTTATTTTAGGTGGTGTTCCCCTTTAACATCAAGATTTAAAACATGTTATGATGAAAACAAAAAGTCCCTCAAATTATCCTAGGGACTTTCCTGTAAAGAACTATGTAATTTGGCACTAATTGTATGCAAATCAGAGACAGCATTCAGCACATTTCCAATTAAATGCTAAGCTAGTGTACCCTGGAGAGGCTTTATTCAGAGCACAGTCAGCTGAACATGCAGAAATGTACCATTGTGTCTGCAGGGAGCATTCAAGTCAACATATGAAGAAGAAAGTTTCCGGTTGTAAATGAATAATAGATGAATATTTACTAGGGTTTAAATAAAAATCACTAACTGCTTTTAAACTCAACACAAGAAACAATGTCCAAGCACACTGCTAGGACTTTTAAACAACACATTTAGAGTTGTCATTGCAGGAAAACAGCAGGTGTTGCTAATCATATTACCAATGGTTCTGCTCTATTGAAGTGTTGCAGTGGGTCATGACAGTGTGACAGTAATCCAGCATGCATAACACCAGGACCCTGAGACTGAAGAGGCCCAATGGAGTTTTATGTTATTTCTATAATTTGCTGACAGGCTCATTTTGCACACATACTAGAAGACAAGATGCACTGATTTCCCAATGATGACAAATGATGTAGTCATCAAAGACCTAGAGGAATCTTCCACAGTGAGGCCGCACATGTGTAGAGGAAAATTTTGGTAATGAAAAAGAGGAATGTACAGACTGAATTAAAATCCCAGAGTGGAATATTTTTGTTGTGGAACTGACTTGAACAAATTTGTGAAATTGTGTTTATTGTGTGTGACAACAATCAAAATGATTAATCCGTCTGTTTGTTGCCAGGCTGCACTCTGACTGACACACTCACGTTAAATAGTAAGGTGCTCATCAGGTGCTCAGTGACACTGTGGTTCCACTCAGAGCTTCGTACTCAGTAATACGTGAAGCATCCTGGATCCTGATCATTTACAAAATTTAACCTGAAACAGTTTTTGAAGAAGGTTGTTGAGTTTACAGTAGTGTGAGTGTGTGTTTCGGCATTATGT